GAAAAGTCATCAATCAGCGTTATCATATATCTACCACCACCATGTGAAGTAACTTGAGAGAGGGACCCAAAGATCAGAATGAATATAATCCACCGTACCCTTGGTCTAGTGAATTCCTGTACTGAATTTCACTCTGCACTGCTTCCCGAAGGCGCAATGCTCACATAAATCCAGCTTCTTAGTTTTCTAACCACCAAACAAACCCTGCTTACTCAGAACATCCATCCCCCTCTCACTCATATGCCCAAGCCGCATATGCCACAATCTGGTAGTATCTGAATCTGGATCCGAGGACGATACATCACCACAAGAGCATATAAACCATGCTTCTTCAATCCCTTCATCACCACAAGAGCACCCTTGGAAACCCGAATGACTCCACCTCCAGCCTTATAAGTGCACCCGATGGAATCCAGCATACCCAGGGAAATTCTTTCTCATTTCTGGTACATGCCTGACATCAGTTAGTGTCCTCACTATGCCGTCATACATCTTGATTCGAACTGTACCGATACCTACAACCTTACACGCCGCGTCATTCCCCATCAGAACTTCCCCTCCGTCAATAGATCGATAAGAGGTAAACCAGTCCCTGTTTGGACAAGCATGAAACAAGCAACCCGAATCAAGAATCCACTCATCGCAAGAGCTGCCAACTGAAATTGTGAGAACATTACCACCATCTAAATCATTACCTTCTGCAACAGCCACACTTTCAACTTCAGATGATTTTACCTTTCCCTTCTTACGCTCTGGACAATCCTTTTTGAAGTGCCTTTCCTTGTAATAGATGAAACATCTCAACACCTTCGTTTTGTTCTCAGACTTAGAACGACCTTTGCTGCCAGACCCTCCTTTCTGATCCGTTCTCCCTCTAACAAATAACCCTTCTGCTAAACTTTCTATATTGCCCTCAAACGCCCTTTTTTGCAATTCCTTAGAATTCAGAGATGCCTTCACGTCTTCCATGGACAAAGCAGTTCTGCCATACATCATTGTATCGACAAATTTCTCATACGAGGGTAATAGAAAACAACAGAATAATAGCCTGATCTTCATCCTCTATCTTGACATCAATATTATTCAAGTCCATGATACTATTTAACTTGTCAAGATGGTCTTTCAGAGACGAACCTTCGTGCATCTGAAGAGTGAATAACCGCTTCTTTAGATACAAGCAATTCACAAGAGATTTCGTCATATACCGGGACTCCAACTTCTGCCAGAGCCCATTCGCCGTAGTCTTTCCTGTAACTTCTCGCAGAGCCTAGTTACTCAAGCACAACAAAATCGTATTGTGTGCTTTCTCCATAACCTCATCTTTGTCCTTGATCCTTTCTGGCAGTGCATTTGCCCTCTGTGTAGCTTTTGCGGGTTGTGATACCCGTTTGATTGCTTTTTATACAATCTTACTTAGCAAATATATATATATGTCAAAAAAAATACAAACATACAAGAATATAAAATGCCTATACCCTAAACTTATAAACTCTGGAAAAGACAATACAACTTTCAATAATAAAATCTTAGATCTTTTTAGTTTTAGAATAATATCATCAACAATTAACATACACAATGGAATCACTTCCAGAATGTGTTTTTTCCGTTCATTTTACGATTAAGGCAAAAAGATATAAGCTTAATATATGGATTGCTGATGATAGACATGCTTTGGTCGGGGGGAGGAGGATTAATTTCATCTTGTCCGATGGGAGTAGGTTTGTAGGCTCTTTAAGTTGGGAGGTCTTGGGATTAGGAGATTGGCCCCTTTCAACAGAGCACTCCTAGGCAAGTGGCTATGGAGATTCGGCAGTGAAAGACATAGGTTATGGAGGAAGGTTGTTTCATGTCGTTTAGGGAGGAGAGAGGGGGATGGTTAGCTAGGCCGGTCAGATCTGTTATCGAGGTGGGGGTGTGGAAATCCATTGGGAAGGGGTGGGATGGGTTCTCTAAGCATATTAGATTCAGAGTTCGGGAAGGAAGGGACGTCTAGTTTTGGGAGGATACTTGGTGCGAGGATCGTCCGTTGTCTTGTTTATTCCCAAGGTTGTTCAGGATTGCCGATGATAGACATGCTTTGGTTGCTGACTGCTATCGTCTTGATAGCGGTAGGTTGTCTTGGGATGTGCGGTTCCGGCGATGCTTTCAGGATAGGGAGTTAGATGACGTCACTGGTTTGCTGGACCTTTTGTATATATAGGAGGTGGATGGCACTGGTTCAGATTCCTTGACTTGGATGCCTTCTTCGTAGACTTTACAAGTCCGGTCCTTCTTTTTTTGTCTCTCTGGGTTTCACAATACCACTTTCCCGTGGAAAATGGTTTGGCATTCGACGTCTCCTCTTAGGGTGGCCTTTTTTGTTTGGATCGCAGCTTGGGGTAGGATCTTGACTCTGGACAAACTGAGGAAGAGAAGACAAATCATTGTCAATTGGTGTTGTCTGTGTAAGAATGATGGAGAGTCCGTGGATCACCTTCTTTTGCATTGTCTAGTGGCTCATGACTACTGGAGTCTTATTTTGGGACTTTTTGGTGTCCAGTGGGTTATGCCCCGGACCTTAAGGGATTTGATTGACATTCGCGATTTTTGGAGGGTGACCCCCCTCTGTGTTTGATGGAGCCTTTGGAAAGAGCGGAGTAGAAGATCTTTTGATGGGGAGGAATCCTTTATTGGGGCGCTGAAGTTTTCTATTATTTGTTCTCTTTTTAGTTGGGGTTTGGGGAGAAATTGTACATCTTTAGATGAAATCGTGGACTTTTTGGATTCTTTGGGTCCATAGGACTTCCCCTTTCTCTTTTTTGGTTTTTGTACAGCTCTTGGGACGCGTTCCCCCTTTTGAACGCTTTCTAATACATTTTTACTTATCAAAAAAAAAATAAAAATATAAGCTTAATTCTGACTCTTGATGTAAGCCTACATTAATTAGAACTTCACGTGTTTCCTAAAGGCATTCTAACTATAGTTTCTATCATACGCGTCCTTTACAATATCAATATATCCCTTTCTAAAACCCCCCATATTAGATTTCTAGGTGGCCTATCACATGTTTTCTTGGAATCAATAAAGTCATACGAAGATCTTTTTTGTTCTCTCTACATCTTTCAATTAGTCTCAATAAGTAAATAGTCTCCATTATTGACCTGCCCAACATATATCCAAATTGATTTTCAGAGAACTAGTGTCATGTCTTGGTTGTTCAATCATTCTCTCCAAAGTTTAATGGAATAATTCATTAGTTCAATACCACGATAGCTAGTACAACTTTGTATGTCCCCTTTATTTTTTATTTATAGGTAAAATAATTTTGCACTACTCATCAAATATTCTCTTAGTTGCTATTATCTTGTTAATCCATTTTGTTAGCCGTCTATGTCATCATCTGCTAAAAGCTTCCAAACCTAATAGGAATATCATCTGTCCTAAAACTGAACTTGTTTGAACTGGCAACTTATAAACAATTTATTTGTGAAAGAGGTTATGAGTATTTTTAAATTTCTAATTTTGTTTTCATTTCCATAAAACAAAACTGTTGAACAATTTACAAATGTATATCTAAATAAATATAAATTTAAACACATGTATGGTTTATAATCTTTTTCCTTATTGTTTTCCTTATTTTTTGTTTGCTTATATTCTGCTTGCCCCCCTCTCTGTCACGTTCAGGCTGATTTTTTCTTCATTAGGATTTGCATGTTGGATACTTGATTATCTCTTTGAATCAAGGTCACATTGTTTTTGTAAGTGGCTATGGATTATTAATTTTGTATAGTACTTTCTAAACAAAATCAACTCCTGAGATACTGTTAAATCAAAGTCGAGTAGGCAAGAATATATGCGATAGATCAGAAATTAGTTCTATGAGTGAGAAGGAATCAAAGTCCACAAATCTCCCAAAACCTCACATTTCAAGTACCCATTGTCATGTTTGAGAGAATGCTGAATTACTAGTTTTTTTTGGTGTGTATATGTTAGAATCCCTATAGATATTTTATAAGGCTTTAAATTCTCTTCCAGGTCTTAGAGTGATTAGAATTCAATTTGAAAAGTTTTGGACAAGCCCTGGATGAATTAGAAAAAAATTCGGACTTAGAAACTCTTTTTTTTTTTGCTCCAGGAGGTGTACCGGTACAGGATCAATAGTGCACCAGCACACAACTTTTTGGAGTGCCTATACCGGTATACTACTCTTTTGTTTTTCACTGTGTCTTTGTTCAAAAGACTGCACACACGACCTGACTTTTGAGGCTTACTCAAAACGGGCCAGTCAAACTCTAAATTATGCAAATTATATATTGCTTGAGAACTTATTTATTTTCTGGCAATGTAAATCTAATCACTAGATTCCAAATATATAAGTTGTTATGGCTCCAGAAAGGTCAATGTTTTTACTAAATTTAACAGCCTAGGTGGATATTGAGCCTAAGCCCACTCAAAATTTGTTCCATTCCGACTAAAACAGATTTCTATATTTGAAAATACTTTGTACTTCACCCAAAGTATCCAAGTTAATGTCAATCAAGTTCATTTATCCATTTTAATTGAAGGCCCTTACCTTGTCCTAATGTGTGATCCAATTTGATAAAGGCCGTTGGTCCCGTATCAATTTGTAATTTCCATCTCATCATCATGTAGTCCTCTATCAGTAGCTTCAACCGCATCTCTCTCAAGTAAATCAGTAGACAAGTCAATATGGCCAATAGATTACAATGCATGTTTTGATCACTGAAATTGCCAACACAACAACCTTAATTCATAACAAAATATAATGTTTCTGTGTCCCTTTTCTCTCACTGGACGAAAGGAGAATGTGTTTTTTATACAGTTAATTGGAATGTGTTCACAATTCTAATACCTTTCTAAAAACATTGTTCAATTTTGTAATTTGTTTTGTTTTCATTCTGACTTCAATAATTGCAGGGAAGTTATGCTTAGATATTTGACATCTTTGCTTTGCATTTCTAGTTGATCTTATTATACTTCTGTTGTCCCTACTATTTTAGGGGTTACCACAGGTTTTGTTATGTAGAATTGGATTTCTTAAAGAAGTACTTCTTCTACCAGCCCTTACTAATGGAGATGAGAAAGTAATTGGTGGTCTTGCATGCTTGATGTCAGAAATTGGTCAGGCTGTAAGTATTTGGAATTCTTTTTGGAGTATGATCTTTTATATAATTTTGCATCTTACAATTATTTAAGAATATTATTGTTTACACTTCATTAATGTGCGGGCTGCTCCAGCTAAACAAGCTCCTAGCGCTATTGCTAATGACTTTTTACACTTCATGAATGTACATTAGGCACCATCTCTGATTGTAGAAGCAAGTTCTGAAGCACTTGCACTTGCAGATGCACTTATGAGGTCAGTTTCAGTTTTCACCCTTTTTTTAAATGTTAAACTTCACTTGAAAAAAATAGTGTTATACGTATGTGAGATCTGGTTTCTCAACATGCACCAAATGTGCCCTAGGTGCCTCCAATTTGCTTAAATCTCTGCCCCGGACCAAGAGTTTATATGGAAATTATGTGACATTAGGGAATTGTTCAGAAATCAGATTGGACACGTTTTTTTTTAAAAAAGTTACGTACATCTGCTGGTAGGAATTAATAGAAAAAAGAGGCATCTGACAAGTGGAGCATGTTTTACTAATTCTCCTCCGAGTTTGTCAGTTATTGCCATTCACACATCCAAAGTGCATCAAGATTATAATGCCCCTATTCACCGAAAAAAAGGATTTTAATGTCCTATATTCAGGCATTTTTCTACATCTGACAGATTTAATATTCTTGCAGTTGTGTAGCATTTCCATGTGAAGACTGGGAGATTGCGAACTCAACTTTGCAGTTCTGGTACATTTTATCCTCTTTAATTTCATTTATTTATTGTTTTTATTTGGAATGGGGGAGGGGGAGGGTTTTTAGGTTCAATAGTTGTAGTATTCAATCCTTCAACTTTACTATATATATATTTTACTTAAACCTCTTGTAATATATTCCTATTGTTGAACTATTATTTCCAAATGACTTATCAAAAAAAAAAATTGTTGAACTATTATTTCCAAATGACTGAATTGCCAGTGTTAAATGCTCTATGTTACATAAATATAATTGATCTTAGGAAATAGAAGAAGGCTAATAAGAAATATGAAAATTTAGCCACGTCCCTTTAGGCTAATATGCACGTCTGACAACTCGTATTTGAGTCCATGTAACACGTTATCCCAAGTGGCCTCCCTCAAAATATTTCACTAAGAAGCTCACAGACCTCTTTTGAGGAATATATTGGAGCATGGCACTTACTGCTCTTTTACTCCCTACTATAGGCACACATTTGACAATGTGAGGAGGCAATGGATCTCTTCCCCAATAGCTCCATAGACACTCGTGTATTTGTGTTTATGTGCAGTCGTGTACACAATTATGGTATATATTATCCAGATACTCCACATGGTTGGAGCGAGTTTAGTGACTTTGTTTGTTGTTCATAGTTCATGTAGCTCTGAAGAAGTGGATATCATTATTTGGAGATATTTGTTTATACTGCATCTTCTTTTCACTCCCGATCTGTTTCTTTTAGTTTTAGGATGATCTTTAGGCCTATGATTTCCTTTATCTTTGCAATCCTCTGTTTTTGAAGATGGTCAAACTTGCTATGCTAGATTTTAATATATAGTTTCTGCAAGGTGTCTATGATTAGAAACTTCTGTCAGTCTTGCTTCAAACTCAAAGCTTTGTAATTACAAGTTTCTTTATCTTCATTCCCAGGAGTAGCCTTGCAAGCTATATTCTTGGCCTTGATGTGGACAATGGAACCGAAAGAAAAAATGTGGAAGATATGTTTTCGTCTGTATTTTCAGCGTTACTTGATGCTCTTCTATTGCGCGCTCAGGTTTTTTGTTTGTCTATCCGCTTTGTTTCTGGTGTGGTTTGGTAATCTATTTTATTTCAATGTGCAATCTATTTCTCTTGTTGGTTTGTTCCTATTGAAGAACAATTATTCTTCTAGGTGGTAGCCATGTTTTTTTTTTTTTTTTTGCAAAATCTTCTTCATATTTTTGTATACTAGTAAAAGTGGACGTGCATGCATATGATTAAAATTCTAATTTACAACAAAATTATAAATTAACCTATTGAACTTAAAAATTATAATTTTCAATATAATCAAACAACAATGAAAAACTATCAAAACCCGCATACAGAAATTGTTGAGTTTGAATGGATTGTTTAAAGTCACATGCTGACAGGAGAGCAATGCATTCCTTGAGAATATATGGTTTTAAGTTTACCTGGAAAGAGGTTGATATAGGAAACGTGAAGTGAGAAAACTGCTTTTGAAGTATCAATTAGGGGAGATTGATGAGAGAGAATGTGGAAAGTTGTTGAAGGAGGAGGGTTGCTTTGATGGCATATCAGGTCATGTATGTGTGAGAAAACACCCCAAACCCCCCACCACCACCCCCTTCCTTCCCTGTAAGTAGTGTTTATGCTGAACAAAATAATTCAATGTTCCATCACAAAGAGAGAAATATAAGAACTAAAAATTAAAGTTGGACTTTATACAAGGTTGCAAGTCGCCTATATCTTTAATAGGATTGAAGTACTTGAAGGAAAAAAAAAGGAATCACATAGAGATGCATCATAGACATTTTTTGAGAAAAACTGTGAACGGGATGCAATGCCTTAATAAAACATCCAAAATAGGACAAATGGCTTCTAAGAAAAACTGACTTAAGCTTTCCATCACTCCCTCAACATCCAATGCCACTCCTTTTGGGATGAACCTTGGTCATCTTCGCCTCATCATTTGAATCGCCAAGATCAACAAACTGATCATGCTACTTATCATAGTCCCTCCTCAACTGTCCCTGTAGTTCTCTCTCTCTTTTATTTATCATTCTTCCTTTCTATCCCCGCCTTTACTTGTTGCATCATTCATTCTCTGACAAATCTGCTTACTTTTAGACATCCTGCTACATTCCCTTTCTTATGAGTAAAATGCTATTTAAATTGGGTAACACCGCCACTAACAACTCTACCACATAAGAAACATCTCATTTTGTGCCTATCATTATCTTCTGGAGCACTAAAGTTCCACCCAAAATGATCGTTCCTGCTGCCCTAGTCCCACTCCATCGTTGTCCTACCTGTCGGAAGGTTTGACACTACCGCTACCACCCTTTCCAACTTCTCCATATTGTGAATGATACGTATTTTTGCAAAAAATCACAAATCTTTTATTAATTTTTTTGTCACACACAACATATATAACGGGTGTATAGTTAGCAGTTACAAATGAGAATTACAAAACAGAAAATAAAAATACAAAATAAATCTAAAAATAAAAAATTTAGTAAAAAAAGGTACGAGTTAAAGATTTGGAGAGAATTATGAATTGTGACATGTGTTATATCACAAAAAATTAGCATTTACACATGATAATTAGTTAAACAGAAAATACAAAATAAATAAGTCTGAAAATTTTTAAAAAATTGTAAAAAAGTAAAATACAAGGCAAAAATTTGAGAAAATTTTGAATCACAACTGTGGAGTTGGACTGATGAGGAGGCAGTGGAGTTGGGCTTTATCAGAGGTTTCAGGGTTGGTGGGAGTCTACTAGTCAGGTGGAGATTTCCCATTTGTTATCTGCAAACGACACTTAGTCTTCTGTGATGCTGAGGTGTCACAGATGAGATATCTGTGGTGCGTATTGATTTGTTTTCATGCAGTCTTTGGCTTGAAAATAAATGTGGGTAAGAGTGTGCCGGTTCCAGTTGGAGAAGTTGCAGAAATCTTTGACTTAGCCTATACTCTTTGTTGTGGAGTTGGATCTTTCCCTATCTCATATATGGGGCTGCCGTTGGGGTTGTCCTTGAGAAGGACGGGAGGAAGGGATCCTGTGGTTGAGAGGTTTGAGAGGAGGCTTGTGAGGTACCCTGATGAAGAGTACTTTGTTTAGTCTTCGGACTAATTTTCTCCCTTTTTCAGATTCCTCCTCAGTGGCTGAGAGGATTGAGAGGCTCCTGCGTAACTTTCTTTGGGGTGGTTTGTGAGAGGAGTTTAAATTCCATTTTGTTCGCTAGGAGTAGGTTTGTAGGCCCATTCAGTTGCATGGCCTGAGAATTAGAAGATTGGTGCCTTTCAATAAGACCTTGTTGGGAAAGTGTTTGTGGACATTAGGGAAGGAGAGACATAGTCTTTGGAGGAGGGTTATTTCCAACAGATTTGGGGAGGGGAGTTGGTGCTCATTGGAGGTGAGGGCTCCTGGAGTGTTGGTGTTTGTAAATTCATCCAGTAGGGGTGGGATATTGATAGTTGGGGTTGGTAGGGGCATCCATTTTTGGGAGGATACTTTGTGTGGTGATTGTTGCATGCACTTTCCCCTCGCATTTCAGGATTGCTCGGGGTAGACATGCCTTGGTCGCAGACTGTTATCGGCTTGATAACGGAAGGATTACTTGGGATGTGCGCTTTTTGAGACACTTTTAGGACTGGGAGATTGAGGAGGTTGTGGGGTCTTTTAGAGGTGCTTTATCATCAGGAGGTGGATAGTGGTAGTGGTTTGATGTTTTCTCTTTCTATGGGAGATTATCGGGTTCTGCGGGACCTGCTTTCCCATGGAAGGCTGTTAGCTTTTTTTTTTTTTTTTTTGCTTGGACACTTGTCTTGGGTAGGATTCTGATGCTGGACAATTTGAGGAGAGAGATTACTGCTAACTGGTGCTGTATGTGCGAAAGTGATGGAGAACGGGTCGATCACCTCTTGCTTCATTGTGGTGGCCCGGGATAGTTGGGATATGATTTTGGTGATGTTTGGGGTTCAGTAGGTTATGCCTTGGTGTTCTAGAGGCGTGATTGAGGCTTGGAGAGGTTGTACAGTGGGCCCCCAAGCACGTGACTTTTGGAGGGTCGTGCCCCTGTGTATGTGGTGGTGTCTATGGATGGAACGGAATAATAGACCTTTTGATGGCGGGCAACTCCTATTGGGGCGTGAAATTCTCTATTATTAGTTCTCTTTTTTGTTGGGTCTTTGGGAGAAATTGTAAATCAGTGGGGGAAATTGTTGATTCCTTGGATATGTTTAGAGTTTAGGGGCCCCACCTGGCCCTTGTGTATCCTTTGTGGGCTGCGTTCCCCCTTTGAATGCTTTCTAATTTTTTCTTTTTTTTCCTAGTTGGTGTACACACACACGTCTCTTCTGAGACTTAAACCCCTGACCTCTCTTTGGGAGATAAGAGGCCGATACCGCTAGGCCACTGACCCGTTGGTGCTTTCTAATTCAACATTACTTATTAAAAAAAAAAAGGAAAAAAAAAAAGGAAGAATAAAAAATGGCAATCTGTTGATAGAGAAATCCCTCTTTCTATCTTTCCATATAACTTTATCAGGCCTATTAGCCCCCCTGGCGGGTGCCTTCTCTCCCCTTTAAAGGTTTAGTGTTTAAAGCAGCATTATTTTCTGTAATTTATTTTCTTGTTATTTTTTGATATTTTACTTTCTTTTCTATTTTTTCTTTTGTGTGTTTTGATCTATATGCTTTGGTAACTGTTGTATCAAATACCAAGCAGTGCATCATTTAAAAGTATTACATTATTAGGAAGGTATTTCTATTTACCAAAGCAGCTTTCTTTCCATACCACTTCTGCTTCTCTCTCTCTTCTTTCCTTTTTTTTTTTTAGACTAAAAAGTTGATTAATTTAGACTTTGCCTTTGACAGGTGGACGATTCTACTTTTAATGATGAGAAAGGAACACTTGACCTGCCTGATGGCCTTGTGCAATTTAGGATGAACTTAGTGGAACTTTTGGTTGATATTTGTCAGCTTTTAAGATCTGCTACATTTATACAAAAGGTTCTTGCTTCAGGAGATTCTTATTTCTATGTGAACCAATAATAAGAGATTGATATGCTATTAGAATAGGCGCAGTTGACTTTGCTTTCTATATTCTTTTGGACTGATTATGTTTCTGGACACTAGAATTTGTTGGCGATTTCTATATCTGCATACAAAATTCTTAAATTGAGATGTTATGCGTGATAAACCTGAAATATTTTGAGTGTTAGTTTATGTTTTTTCTTTTTCGATGCCTGCATATATTCTTTATCCTCATGCTGTTACTATTTAGGTTTTGAGAGTTCCATAAAACTGTCCAGATCTAATTGTTCTATGTGGACCGTGAATGGGTTAATTTGTAAAATACTGGAACACAAACTCGACCAAGTTCATTGCTAATTGTAAAATATATTTATAATTCTTAGATAACAATGTTTGTGTGCCTGATAAGAATCTCATTGAGTTAGGCAAGTAAAGGACATAAATAAGCAATTTTATTCAAGTATTGAAACCTAAAGATCTCTACAAACTCGAACTCCCATAACTTTTCTGATTGTCAAGTTCAGTGTCCTACTCTTTTCCAATATATATATATATATATATATATATATGTATGTATGTATTAACACTGTAGATGCTTAAAGAAAATCTAGCATTTTTCTTGGTGCAGTCGGTTATACAATATTATTAATTGTAAACTTTACTAACTTAGATACATAGGGGTTGTTGTAAAGCATAAAACGGAAGGGAAGAGATAAATAAAACAAGTAGAGCACATAGATATTACGTGGTTCAGCCACTAGGGCCTACATCCACGGCACAAATAGCCCAGAGGGCTACATCACTTTTATAATACTCTCTCAATTCATATACAATACAATGGTGGAAGCTCCTTTATATAGGAGAAGAAATTATGAGAATGGAAAGAATTAGAAAATAGGAAACAAGGAGGATTTTTCTCTATTGATTCCTCTAGTAACACCAAATCTTCAATAATAATAGGAAACAACATCAATTACCTTAGATTTTCCTCCACTGATTCCTCCATTAAATCTTCAATAGGGGTTAATTAAGGTATGTTGGTAATGATCTCACCATTTGTTTTGTTCGGACCAAGCTTGTAGATCAATCCAGTTGGGAGGTTTGGGTACCAGGAGACTTGAGCCATTCAATGAGGCCCTTATGGGAAAGTGGCTATGGAGGTTTGGGGTGGAGAGACACAAACTTTGGAGGAGAGTGGTTGCTTGCAGATATGGTGAGGAAAGGAGAGGTTGGTGTTCCATGGAGGTGCGGATTCCTGGTGGTGTTGGTGTTTGGAAATTCATTCAGAAGTGGTGGGGCAAATTTTCTAAATACATCAGATTTATAGTAAGGGATAGGGCTGAAAACAAGCTGAGTTCTGGGCTGCTCAGGCTCGGCTCGGCTCGTCACAGCCAAAGGATGCTCCAACACCATTGTCCTTCTCCTTCTTCCAATGTCATTGCAGCCATGGTTCGAAAGAATACTTCTCTTGATAATTGGCATAAGCGTCTGGGCCACCCTGGACCACGTGTTCTTGATTATTTAGTTATAAATAAATGCTTGTCTTTTGTTAGAAACAATAATATTTCTAGTTGCTTAAGTTGTTCCATTAATAAAAGTTGTCGCTTGCCATTTTTAAGATCACTACAGAATCTCCCGCCCTTTACATCTCATTCACTCAGATTTGTGTGGGCTTGCTCCTGAATTGTCTCACGGTGGTTTTTGCTATTATCTAATTTTTGTAGATTTTTCTAGATATACATGGATATATCCATCAATTCAAAAATCTGAAACTTTTGACTACTTTCGCAAATTTAAGCTTGCTGTTGAAAATCAATTTGACACCACTATAAAGTATCTTCAAACTGATGGAGGAAAGGAGTATATTAACAAAGTTTTTACAGCTCTTCTCACCAATAGTGGCATTGAACATAGTATCACATGCCCTCATACTTAAGCACAAAATGGCAAGGCAAAACGCAAGCATCGTCATATTGTTGAACATGGTCTTGCTCTTTGTCATCATGCGTTCCTTCCACGTAAATTTTGGATGGAAGCCTTTTCTACTTCAATTTACCTTATAAACAGATTACCTTCTCTTGGGTTACAACACAAATCACCTTATGAGATGCTCTTTAATCGACCTCCAGATTATGCTACACTGCACACATTTGGGTGTCGATGTTTTCCCTCCCTAGGCTATTTAAGGAAAGACAAACTTTCTCCATAATCGGTGCCATGTGTTTTCTTGGGCTATGGAACCCAACAAAAAGGATATTGGTGCCTTGACACACAAACTGGTAAAGTATACTTCTCTCGCCATGTTCGGTTCAATGAAGATGTATTCCCATTTGCTCAATTACTTACAACTGGTCCTCTTAAGCCATCCATAATGCTTGAAGATTGGGTTGCACCAATTGAATCTACATTACCTACATCTCGTGGTTTGCTCCTACCTCCATCATTGTTACCTACACCACCAACTGTTACCACAGTCCCATCAATTACCGTTCCTACACTGCCACCAAAAGCTGTTATCACTTAGTAAAGGCGATGTATTTTACCCTCATAGCCTAGTGCTACAAACCTTGTTGACCCATTACCATGTCCTAACTCAACCCAACCGCCGTTAGAACTAGCCAGATCTGTACATCCCATGGTTACTCGACTTTGTGATGGTACTCTTCAACCTAGGGACCTCTTTACAGGTCATGTGACCAGACACTCACTGCCAAGATGCCTCCCAAGTGTAGTTCATTCTCTTGTTGATGAGCCTACAAGATGATGGCTCTTTAGAATGATACAAGACCAGACTTGTTGCAAAAGGTTACCATCAAGAATATGGGCAGGATTTTAATGAAACATTTAGCTCGGTTGTTAAATCCCCTACTATTCGACTTGTCCTCTCTTGCCATAAATTGCTACTGGCCTATTTGTTAACTTGACGTTAAAAATGCCTTCCTACATGGCATTCTTCATGAAACAGTTATATGAAGCAACTATTGTCAGGGCTTATTTGTTATTACTTATATAATGTTGGGGCTTATGTGTAATTTCTGAAACTTGTTATTATAAATAGAATGTGGTGGAAGGATGAAAGTATTCTTTTCATTCTCTCTCTTTTTCCCCATCTCTCTCTCTTTTTCTCTCATCCACTTTCTTCTCTTTTTCTTTTTCTTTTTCTTTATCACTTACTCTTGATTTGATTATATCTTAAAGTCAACATGGTATCAGAGCATGGTTTGCAAAGCTCTAGGTGTATAGTTGAAACCCTAGGGCAAGTTTGTATAAACCCTAGTGAGTGTGAAGGGTTTTGAAGAGACTCCAAGATGGGATTTGTTTGCAAGGATCATTGAGATGCTTTCTTGGCATCGAGGTGTGCAGATCGAAGAAAGGGGTGTTCATTTCTCAACGGAAGTATGTGTTAGATTTGTTAGCTGAAACAGGTTGGCTTGGAGCTAGACCTAGTGATATTCCCAGTGAGCAGAACCATAGGCTTAATGATGTAGATGGAGACCCATTAGATGATGTGGGAAGATTTCAACGATTGGTTGGGAGACTGATTTACTTATCTATCACGTGCCCGGATATTGCCTACGTTGTTAGTGTGATTAGTCAGTTTATGCATGCTCCACGTACACCTCACCTTGAGGCAGTTCATCATGTACTTCGCTACCTCAAGGGTTCACCTGGTAAAGGGATATTGTTTGGTTGTCATGGCCACTTGCGTGTTGAAGCCTATACTAATGCTGATTGGGCAGGGTCTGTCAAAGATCGGCAATCTACTTCAGTATATTGCACATTTGTTGGAGGTAATCTTGTTTCATGGCGAAGCAAGAAACAGTAAGTAGTAGCTAGATCTAGTGCAGAGGCTGAGTTTAGATCCATGACACATGGAGTTTGTGAGTTGTTATGGCTACGTACGATATTGCGTGAGTTGGGTTATCCTGTTCGCGAGTCAATGAAGTTGTATTGTGACAACAAGGCTACTATTAGCATTGCCCAAAATCCAGTTCAACATGACAGGACAAAGCACATTGAAGTCGATCGACACTTCATCAAGGAAAAGCTTCGTCTTGGGTTGATTTGTACTCCATAGGTCAATACACATGATTAGGTTGCTGTTAGCCGAGATATGATAAGCCCAAATCATGGGATGTGACTTACCATATTTTCTGAGATATGATAGCCATAAATCATGGATTTGACTTTATTTACGCATATGTCTAGGCATAGAATATGCAATGATTTTATTTAGTTTCTTTTATTGTAATATTAACATGTGCTCTTTTTAGTATATAAATATGAGAGTTGTGAATGAGTGTATATACATCTCATTCAAACCTTTTACATATTTATTCTCTTTCTTCTATATTCTCTTTCTTCTTGTTATTAGAGCTAGGGTGGTCCGACTGCAATGAGGGCATTGCAAGTTCGGCACCACTCATTCGAGAATGGTTTAAGGAGACATCCCCCATCTGGCTATTCGGAAATGGTCTGAGATGTCGTCGTTTTTTTTTATGGTCTGAGGAGACATTGTTGATTCTTTCATCTACATTGTTTAAACATATGTATGAAGGGGAATGGTTTGAGGAGACATTGTTGATTATTTTATCTACATATTTTAAACGTGTATAAAGGGAAATGGTCTGAGCAGACATTGTTGGTGGTTTACGGTCTGAGGAAACATGGTTGGTTGTTTTGGGTCTGAGGAGACATTGTTAAATGTTTATGGTCTGAGGAGACACTTTGATTTGTTGATCGGATTGGCACGTATTGGCAAGACCGTGTTTAATGATGCATTGTCCAAGTTGGGCGTCTCAGACATCCACGCACCAACTTGAGGGGGAGTGTTAGCCGAGATATGGTAAGCCCAAATCATGGGATGTGACTGACCATATTTTCTGAGATATGATAGTCACAAATCATGGATTTGACTTTATTTATGCATATGTCTAGGCATAAAATATGCAATGATTTTATTTAGTTTCTTTTATTGTAATATTAACATGTGCTCTTTTTAGTATATAAATATGGGAGTTGTGAATGAGTGTATATACATCTCATTCAAACCTTTTACATATTTATTCTCTTTCTTCTATATTATATTTCTTCTGTTGCCAATGTTTTGACTAAGGGTGTGAGCAAGACTTGCTTGCAAAATATGTTAGTCAAGCTGGGCATGATATATATCTTTGCACTAGCTTGAGGAGGAGTGTTGTCAGGGGCTTATTTGTTATTGCTTATATAATGTTGGGGCTTATGTTTAATTTCTGAACCTTTTTATTAAAAATAGAATGTGGTGGAAGGATGAAACTATTCTTTTCATTCTTTCTCTCTTTCCCTATCTCTCTTTTTCTCTCATCCGCTTTCTTCTCTTTTTCTTTATTACTTACTCTTGATTTGATTATATCTTAAAGTCAACAGCAACCACCAGGTTTTATAGACAAGGATTTTCCTAATCATGTTTGTCATCTTCACAAATCCATTTATGGGTTGTGACAATCTCCAAGAACATGGTTTGATGGCTTTAGTGCTTCAGATTTGTTCAAAGCAAGACTGACGCGTCTATGTTTCTCCACTATGCTGACCATGATATCATTATTCTCCTTGTCTATGTGGACAATATATTCATCACTGGTTCCAACAATGCTTTCATCTCAACAGTCCTCACCAAACTGCACAAGAACCTTGAGATTAAAGACTTGGGTCATTACACTACATCCTGGGGATTGAAGTTTACTGTGATTCTCATGGCATCCAAATGAGTCAATCAAAATATGCTCTCAGCCTTCTAAAGAAAGCTAATTTCCTTCTAGCTAAATGCTTATCACCCGTTGTTGCTGGTTCCAAATTATCCTTATATGATGCTGGTGACCTTGTTAATGCCACATCCAATAGTCGTCTCATTGGTGCACTGCAATACCTCACCATCACACGCCTAGATCATCTTACATATTCTGTGAATTAGGTTTGCCAATTCATGCATCAGCCACGTGAGACTCACTTAGTTGTCGTCATAAGGATTCTTCTGCAAATCAAAAACACTCCTCATTTTGGCATGCATCTTGTTAAATCTCATGATGAACATCTGAGGGGATTTTCTGACGCTGATTGGGCTGGTTCTCCAGATGATCGCTTGTGTGTTTACTTTGGTTCTAACCTCATCACTTTGGCCACTAAGAAGCAATCCACTGTTTCTAGATCAAGTGTTGAATCAGAATATAGGGCATTAGCACACGCATCAGCTGATATCCCACATTCTGTATTATTATTTAAAAAAATACCACATTCTTTTTGTTGGCTATTGTTGAGGTGATTAAGGTGCAAAGACTCCTATCTGTTCAAATAAATTTTTTTTTTTTTTTTTTGATAAGTAAAAAATTTTATAAAAAAAAAACGCTCAGAAGGGGAGTGGAACCCAAGCAAATACAAAAGACCACAAAGGCCTCAAGCCTTCAAAGAGGCTAAAAAATCAACTACTTCCTCCAAAGAACTACGATCTCTTCCTGAAACCCAACAAAAAAGGGTAGAAATAATCGAGAATTTAAGCACCGAAATCGACAAAGCCTTTCCTTCAAAGAATCTCCTATTCCTTTCAAGTCATAAACACCACTACACACAAAGCGGCGTTGCCCTCCACGCATCCTGACTGAGAGCCCCCACAGGGCAACCTCTCCACGCCTCAATCAACCCTCTAATAGATCCAGGCATAACCCAAGAAACATCAAATAAGCCAAGCATCAAAACCCAACACTCTCTAGCCAAAGGGCAATGAATAAGAAGGTGATTCACAGACTCCTCATCACTAAGACACATAGAGCAACGGTTGACCACCACCTGGCTTCTCCTTCTCAGATTATCCTGGGTTAAAATCCTACCCAGGACCGAAGTCTACACAAAGAAAGCCACTTTAAGAGGAGCCTTGGATCACCAAACAAACTTCCAAGGGAAGCGAACTCTAGGAACAAATGAGAGGCACTTGAAGAAAGACCTCGCCTCAAAGCGCCCCTGAGAGTTTGCAATCCAAGACCAATAGTCTGAATCCTCCTCCACAATCCTCTGGCGATATAACAACTCCAAGAAACGAATGACCTCCTCGATCTCCCAATCCTGAAAGGAACGCCTAAATCGAACATCCCAAACCAGTCTTCCATTATCAAGATGATAACAGTTAACCACCATGGCTTGCTTATCTGTAGCAATCCTGTAAAGCTGAGGAAAGGCGAGGGCAAGAGGCACATCTCCACACCACACATCCTCCCAGAAGCGAATCCTCCTCCCATCTCTGAGACGAAACCGAATGTGCTTGGAAAAATCATCCCAACCCTTCCGAATAAATTTCCAAACCCCCACCCCCCGAGGATCTCTAACTTCCAAAGAACTCCACCCTCCTCTCATTTCCCCAAAACGACATGCCACAACCCTCCTCCAAAGCCGATGTCTCTCCACCCCAAACCTCCACAACCATTTCCCAAGGAGGGCCTTATTAAAGGGCACCAATTTACGGAGACCTAACCCACCATTGCGAATTGGCCTGCAAACTTGGTCCCATCTCACCAAATGAAACTTAAACTCTTCACCTCTACCCCCTCCACAGAAAATTACGCTGCAACCTCTCAATCCTTTCCGCAACTGAAGAGGGAATCTGGAAAAGAGAGAGAAAATACGTTGGAATACAAGAGAGGGTGCTCTTAATCAGCGTGACCCTACCGCCCTTGGAGAGATACTGCTTCTTCCAACCCGCCAACCTTTTCTCAAATCTGTCCACCACTGGATCCCAAATCCCCACACACCTCGAAGGAGCTCCCAGAGGCAATCCTAAGTAAGAAATGGGAAATGAACCAGTACGACAGCGAAGAATATCAGCAAAAGTCTCAATCTCAGGGACCTCCCCAACCGGTACCAAAACACTTTTTCCCACATTCACTTTAAGGCCGGAAACAACTTGGAACCAAATCAAAACACATCTCAAATATTTATAGTTGTGTTTCATTTATCCATCTATTGATCAACTATTGACATAAAATACTTATTTATTTGAAATGTTCATTGTATCCATTTGCCAATTCCAACCTCTTTTATGCTTACAGTATAGAGGGTTGATTGATTTCTATGTTAATTGTGAAATTTTCCATTGAATTTTTTATTTTAGATATTTTTTGGTGGCTGGGTGTCTGCAAACTTGCAAATTCCTTGGAAGGAGGTGGAAATGAAAATGTTCGCTCTTAATGTGGTGAGTGCATTTAACTAGTTGAATTTTACCTTTTTATGCATTTCAATGCCATTAGTCGTCTCCTTTATAAATGTAGTCTTTGCCTTTGTTAATTTTATCTATACTTCGTGGAAGTTTCTCTGGCACATATCTCTTTCATAGGCGTACATTCAGTTCCTTCTTCTATCATGTTTGTAGAGGTATCCATTTTTTATTGCAAAGTTTATAATCTGAGCCATTTCAATTGCAGTACACATTTACATATTTAGTGTCCGAACTTCATTCTGCATTGATGTTCTTCTTCACTTTAAATTGTCAAAGACATAAACCTTCACGATTCAAGTATATTATTTCTGTTTGGTCCTAACAATTTCAAGACTGTTCGAGTTTCATGTTCCAGGTTGCTGAGGTGGTACTGCAGGAAGGCCAAGCCTTTGATCTCTCTATGATTATGCACTTGGTAACAATTTTGTCCAGTAGGGCTTCTGATGAACTCAAGGGTTTCATATGCATTGTATGTCATACATGCCTTTTTAGGGGCTTTTGATTTATCTCTCATATGTTGTATTGTATTTTGACTTACTAAAAAACGGTGAACATTGGGTTGTTAGCAACTTAAGTCTGGAAGGATCTGTTTTGATCTGGTCTGTCATTCTCTGATCTGATTTTGTTACTCTTACCTCCCAATGTTTATTTTCTTTCTAGGTATACAGATCACTTGCAGATGTTGTTGGTTCCTATTCCAAGTGGATATCCGCTTTCCAACCTAATGTTAGACCTTTACTGTAAGAAATTTCTCCTTGTGTCTTCTCATTGGTATTGCATGGACCCACATATGGTGTTCACCTAAGCAGCTGTTCATATGTTAGAATGTATTATTCATTTGGTATAACATCTTGTAGAAACCAATCCCTTCTATCAGTTGTATGCAGTTTTAGCATTCATTATTTTGTTGACTAGACCTTCATATTTTCTGAGCATCATTCTGCATTGTTTTTTTTTCTGACAATTCAACTGTTTTGCTATTTTCAGATTATTTCTTGCTGCTGGCATTTCTGAACCTCTGTCTTCAAATGCTTGTGCTTCTGCTTTACGTAAGTTTTGTGAAGATGCTTCTGCAATAATGTATGAACCTTCAGTTTTGGAAATTTTGATCTGGATAGGAGAGGTATGTCATGCTTTACCACTAAAAGAATTCACTTAATGCTTTATTCTACTGTTTATCGGATAAAGAGGTCTCCTTCCCCAATGGTGCAACTTTTGTAGTGTAACTCAACATATTTTTACCCGTAGCCATTTTTTTTAAAAAATATTTCAAAAGGACTAAAATTTGACATAACAGTCGAACAAACCCAAACTGAGGAGGAAAATCCGAAACAAGTTACCTTCCAAAAAAAAAAATCAACTAGTGTACAACTTGATTGCTGCTGCAGTGGGTCTGAGAAGCTATGATGATCCAATACAGTAGAGTTAGGACTTGCAATTGAAGGCAACAGTTGTACCAAGAGGTGCGAAAATTGCAATTAATACATCAGTGAGGTCGTGAGATGCAATGGACCCCTAACTATGATGCAATTGTTTGTTGCGATGCAAAATCTAACAGAAAGGGTAAAAGAATAATATGTAGTATCATCACCCAAAGTCACAACAATTACAGTATGCTGAAATCGAAATCGAACAGAAGGAAATTGAACAGAGTGCAGAAATTTGACGTGAACAGAGAGCTGATGTTGTCAACTGATGAAATCAAAAGCAAAATCCAAGTCGTATAATCAGATTCAGATAGTAAGAGATGCAAACAGAATCCTAGTCAATTGTTGTGATGCAAAATTGATATCAATTGGGGTTTCTGAGTTTGAAGAGAAATGAACTGCAGTGACAAACAGAGAGACTCGATGCTATAAAATCGTAACCGAGACCCAACTGCAAACTGAAAGCGAGACGAACAGAGGTTGCTGCGATGCTTTGAAATTGCAAGACTGCTCTCTATATTTGTCAAAACAGAGGAGAGAGAAGAACCTTTGCAATAAAGGTAATGCGATTGTGAGAGAAGTCGAATTAGGGTTTGCAAAGAAGCTGAGGTAGATGTGCATTTCGAACAGAAAGAGAACGACAGTGTGTTGCAATTGTCTGCGATTAGGGTTTGCTATTGATGATGCGTACTGATGATGCGGCTGAAGAGTTTCAATCGATGATGCAAACTGAACTAGAAGAGAAGCTATTAAGTTGCAAAGAGAAAGAAATCTGATTTTGACCTGATTGCGATAGCGGTTGCAGTTTGCGATTGATACAAATTTCAGCCCTGCTTTGATACCATGATAGTTTTCAATGAAGAAATTTCAGCCCTGCTTTGGTAAAGAAGAAAAGAGAAGACCAGTAGTTGTGTATTATTCAATGAATAATAATACTATACAAGAATAAAAATGCCCTAAAGGCAGACTAAAAAGAAAGAAAAAGACAAAGTTACCCCTAACAAATATAGAGAAGTACACAAAAATTAAAATACAACTCTCTAAGAGGCCTGACTTGGTTCGGTCGACCATGATTTTTGACTGGGTCTAAAAATCCTATTTTTAGCTTCATCCTCTCATTTCTCTAAGCCTCCACCCTGCTAAACAATTGTTTAACAAATCAAGACACGAAAACTCGAGTTTTCTTGATAGATTTATGTTCTAAGCATTCCAAAGTCGAGATTAATTGGTATTTTTAAAAAACAAAAATGTAAACTACTAATAAATGTGTATCAGTGTATGATATAAAGTTTAAAACATATTTCATGTTATGTAAATAATAATATACATTTGTTTTGCACAAAAAAGTTAATAAACGAGTGACTTAAAAAATCAGAAAATTACAAAATTAATTGAGAAATATTGAGAAATTATATAAAATAGGAACAAGCAAATAAGAGTGAGTTTATAATCTTTAATGTATATGATTTCCATGTGCCAACTACAGGTATATTAATTTTCAATTTGTAAGTTATTATTGTATGTGTTTTGTGAATATCACATGGTTATTTATTTATTTTTTGTTTCAATATGCATTTGTGGCCATAAATTTAAACTAAAAATTACTACACTGATACTGTTGACAGTGCCTAAAAAATTTAATTTGTAGCCCATTACTTCTATGATATCACTTTTGAATGTTACATAAATTTCATTTAAAATTATTAAAAATATACTTTTGTTGAATTCTGGAAGTAAAACTTGTATGTCAGCTCGCTTCGATCAGATTTCTTCATGTTGGAAAAATTTCTTAACCGTGACAGCTGATACCCATTACGCAACTCCTGTTACAGCCCTAGACTGCGACTCTGTGACCGCGTTTTAAAACCTTGGGCAAAAGTTTTCTGATTTCTTCTCTCAAGTTCTTTGCATCATTTCTGAGGCTATTATTTGAATTGATGTTGCTTATATCGACATTAGTTTCTACTCCATCACTGCGTGAGAACTTGTCCTTGTCATTACGCTGTTTATGCATTTAGGCATTGTAATTTTCCCCTTGTTCTTATTCCATTTTCTGGTTTTCCTATTCTTTTTTTAAAAAATATTTGGTTTGTTAGGGATTGGAGAATAGGCATTTACCTTTGGAAGTAGAAGAAGAAGTTGTTGGTGCAATTGCTCCAATACTTGGCTCTGTTCCAAACAAGGAGCTAAAGAATAACTTGGTGGCTCGATTGCTTTCTCCCAGCTATGGAGCTATTGGGAAACTAGTAAGATTTTTTTTCCTAGTCTTTTGTGGTTTTTTGTATATGATAATTGTTGAAGGATTTAAATATTAAAGTTACACCCTCTCTAACAGCTTAAGTTTTTAGAGTAGATGATTGTTAACATGGTATGATCCTGAGTTCAAACCTCACCTTCACCCTGATAATTAAAATTGAAACGTGTTGGATCAAAAGGTCACACATGAGGGGGGCGTGTTAGAGGATTTAAATATTAAAGTAACACACTCTCTAACAATTTAAGCTTTTAGAGTAGATGGTTGTCAACAATACTGATGCCTATATATTTGTTATGCCCACATAGTGATGCTTTTATTTAGAACAAATTTAATAGCATATGCCTTAAGTTTTTGTTTCTCTTTGTTTTGGTTTGTAGCTCTAATGGAAAATGCGAAAAATGGGCATATGGAACTCCTTTTATATAATTTTTATTTTAAAAAAAAAAAAAAAAAAAAAAATCTGAAAGCAGAATTTAGAAAAGGGAAAGAAGAGCCAAAGGAGTTTTCAAATGGATCTGATTACATTCTGTTAAAATGTCCGAATTGGTTGCTAATGGATCTGCTGGTTTGACGACGCCTGAACAATTAATGGGCTAAATTGTAAATTCATTAGCAATATGTATATGCTGGTTCAAGTCCAGCTCGGGTCAAATATCGCCAATCTGCCATATGATGGTCTACTTGACTTTTTTAATCTCAGAAATGCCTGATATGGAGGAAAAGGAAGTATCAAATTTTGTTTGTCTAATTATTTGTCAAAAAAATATAAAATTGTTTGTCAAATTGGTTGAAGCAATATAACTACTCCAACACTGCACCTTTGTCATAAATTTCATACATCACCCCATATAGATATAATGTTAATGAAAAAGTTTCTATATATATATATATTTTTGATAAGTAAGATCTCATTGAAAAGCACTCAAAAAAAGGGACTGCATCCCTAATACAACTATACAAGGCAAAAACCTATATATCCTCATGGTATCCACAAGAGACAAAAGAATCTTCATGGACTTGCAATTCCTCCCATGACCCAAAAGAATAAAGAACTTAGCACACATAATTTTAACACCCCAACAGGAGTCTCTGTTGACTTCAAGAGATAATCAAATCAAGTGTAAAGTATAAGAATAAGAAGAAAAAAAAGAAGAAAGTGGATGAGAGTAAAAAAGAGAGATATGGGGAAAGAGAGAAAGAATGAAAGAATCCTTTCATCCTTCCACCACATTCTATTTATAATAACAAGTTTCAGCAATTACACGTAAGCCCCAACATTATATAAGTAATAACAAATAAGCCCCTGACAACACTCAAGGCTCAAGCTGGTGCAAAGATATCTATCATGCCCTGCTTGACTAACATATTTGCAAGCAAGACGAAGCTTTTCCATGATAAAGTGTCGATCGACTTCAATGTGCTTTGACTTGTCATGTTGAACTGGATAGTGGGCAATGCTAATAGCAGCTTTGTTGTCACAATACAACTTCATTAAATCTCGAACAGGATAACCCAACTTTCCCAACATCGTTCGTAGCCATAACAATTCACAAACTCTATATGCCATGGATCTTAACTCAGCCTCTACACTAGATCTAGCCACTATAAACTGTTTCTTGCTTCGCCATGAAACAAGATTACCTCCAACAAATGTGCAATATCTTGATGTAGGTCATCGATCTGTGATAGACCCTACCCAATCAACATCAGTATAGGCTTCAACGCACAAGTGGCCATGACGGCCAAACAATATCCCCTCACCAGGTGAACCCTTGAGGTAGTGAAGAACACGATGTGCTGCCTCAAGGTGAGGTGTATGTGGAGTATGCATAAATTGACTAATCACACTAACAGCGTAGGCAATATCTGGGCGCGTGAGAGATAGGTAAATCAGTCTCCCAACCAATCGCTGAAATCTTCCCACATCCTTTAATGGGTCTCCATCTATATCATTATGCCTATGGTTTTGCTCAATGGGAATACAAATAGGTCTGGCTCCAAGCCAGCCTATTTCAGCGAACAAATTTAACACATACTTCCATTGAGAAATGAACTCCCCTTTCTTCGATCTACACACCTCGATGCCAAGAAAGAATCTCAATGATCCGGGGTCTTTAACCTTGAACTCTGTCCCCAAGAATGACTTCATTCGACGAATCTCTTATGAATCATTTCCAGTGATAACAATATCATCAACATATACAATAAGGGCAGTGGTGCAGCCTTGGTGCTTCTTGATGAAAAGAGTATGATCTGCCTGACTCTGTGTGTACCCTACTCTTTTCACATCAGTGTTGAACCTCTCAAACCAAGCCCGTGGCGGCTGCTTTAACCCATACAAGGCTTTATTTAGCTTGCACACTAAATTCTGACCATTGGCAAGCTTAAACGCTGGTGGCATAGTCATATACACCTCTTCCTCCAACTCACCATGAATGAAAGCGTTCTTTACATCCAGTTGATATAAAGGCCAATTCAAATTAGTTGCCAACGAAAGAACACGTATAGAGTTTATCTTGGCAACTGGAGCGAATTGTCACGGGCCTAGAGATTTGGCGCAGCGGCACGGCCTGTGCGGCACCAAGGCGTTGCTTCAGCTCGCGCAAGCGCCTTGGTCAGCCACCACGACCTGCCCTCTCAAGGATATATGCTGACTGGTTTCGGCCTGCCTTGGCCTCGTCAGGGGAATGGCTCCAGCTCCCAACCAGTTTGTGCAGGGATGGCCAACTCCTTTCTTTATAGTTAAGTCCACGACCAGCGACAAGCTCCTCGCACTCAACCGAGTCGACCTACCTGAACTCTGAAGAGGTACCATCCTGTGCTCCTGCACGCCCCTTCCCTGGAACCATTCCCAGTCAAACTCTACTCTTTGCCAACCAGCATGCGTGTCTTCCATCCTTCAAGCGTCTTAGGAATCACTTTGTGACATTCTCCCCCACCCAAATCCTGCCACGCCCTCGTCGCAGTGCGGCGCTTCACTACTGCGTCCACTCCCTTCCAAAGTCTGGCTCCAAGCGGTATGCTCGCCTTCCCACCATCGCTTCCTTGCGCAACTCCCTACACTGCACTCGCCCAATGATAGGCCTCGGACCAAAGGGACGTCCACTCCTTAAGGACGTGACTCTTCTCCGTCATGCCGCCTTCGCGACATCCCGAGCAAGCAAGGGCCTCCTGCCGACTTCATGCTCGCCCTTCACCATGGTTTGCATCACCCAAGGACTAAGCACGAACTTTGGTGCCCGCGGACCTCCGGCCCTCCGGTGCGCAACTTCAACGGACGCCTCTTCCTAGGGAGATGGAGGCTCTCCCCCCCCCCCCCCCCCCCCCAACTGCATTGATTCCTCCTCATCGATGCAGCTTTAGTGCACCGTCTTTATTCGTTGACCCCTCCCGGACCGATAAGGGGGCACCCCACCATGCTTTACCCCATGTCCTGCTTTGATACCATTTGTCATGGGTCTAGAGATTTGGCGTAGCGGCACGGCACGTGCGACACCAAGGCATTGCTTCAGCTCGCGCAAGCGCCCTGGTCAGCCACCACGACCTGCTCTCCCAAGGATACATGCTGACTGGTTTCGGCCTGCCTTGGCCTCGTTAGGGGAACGGCTCCAGTTCTCGACCAGTTTGTGCAGGGATGACCAACTCCCTTCTTCATAGTCAAGTCCACGACCAGCGACAAGCTCCTCGCACTCAACCGAGTTGACCTGCCTGAACTCTGAAGAGGTACCATCCTGTCCTCCTGCACGCCCCTTCCCTGGAATCATTCCCAGTCAAACTCTGCTCTTTGCCAACCAGCATGCGTGTCTTCCATCCTCCAAGCGTCTTAGGAATCACTTCGTGATAGAATGCTTCCAGATAATCAATCCCATAGGACTGAGTGAAGCCCTTTGCAACTAACCAGGCTTTATATCTCTCAATTGTTCCGTTTACACGATACTTTATTGTGTAGACTCATTTGCGGCCTACTAGTTTCTTATCCCTAGGTAATGGAACAATATTCCAAGTACCATTCTTCTCAAGGGCTTTCACCTCTTCAAGAATGGCTTCCTTTGATGGCGTTTGACTGAAAGCATTTGAAACACTAAAAGGAACAAATACAGAGGAGATACACGAAGTGAAAGCACGATATGTTGGAGATAAGGCACCATAGGATACAAATTGAGATATGGGATGTTTTGTACAACTACGAACACCCTAACGATAGGCAATAGGGATATCAAGATCAACAGGAATACTATTGGGAAAAGAATCAGGAGTATCAATGTCAACTGAGGAATTACTTGGATCGAAGGAGACTTCTTGGTCCTGATGTGAGTCAATGACTTGTTTTGCCCTCCTTGTGTAGACAATTGACTGTTTTCCTTGCTGCAAATCATTAGTGTTTAGAGGACTAGACATAGGCACCTCAGTAAAAAGCTCCCCCTTAATGGGAACGTACAAAGGAAGGGGCATTCTTTCTGAATGGATGGCAGATTCTTTACCTGTATAGTAGTCTCCCCCTTGAGAGAATCCCGAGTAGTGAAAAAAAAGGAACATACTCAAAGAATGTAACATCCATGGAGACAAGAAGGTGGTGCCTTTATCAATTGCATGCCTTATAAGGTGTGATGGTGTGACATCCATGTTTTTCCTTTGGGTCCATCCATGTTTGGCCTTTTGGGCGCATTTTGTCCTTACGATGATGAATGTGAACATAACAAACACAACCAAACACTTTCGGAGGGACAGTAAATAAGACAGTGTGATGGTGTAAGACAAAGAAGTGGGATTGATAACCAAGAACCTTAGAAGGCATGCGATTGATAAGGTATATAGCTGTTAAGGTTACATAAGCCCAATAATTTTTAGGTACTCCCATCCCAATTAGAAGAGAACGGGTCACCTCCGTAATATCGTGGTGTTTTCTTTCAGCTACACCATTCTGTTGTGGTGTATCGACACCAGAGGTTTGATGGACAATCCTGTTATCAGCAAAAAATGAGGCAAGAC